CACACACACACACACACACACACACACAAACAGACATAAACATATACGTACGGTTTCCAGAAATCGTGTTTGATCAGAATAGGCATTTGATTTTAGTGAAGAAAATGGGAAGAGCGGAAAAATCAAAGGAGAAAGAAAGGTGGTGGAGTATATGAATTCCTGAAAATGATGGATGATGGTGAAATGATGATGTAGGATCAAGATGTTGAAGGAGAGAGGAGGTGAAAGGATATCGAAGAGGAAAAGAAAGGAGATAGGATGGTATACAGGTGAGCTTGCTTTAGGGCACACGTGTTCGTATGCAGTCGTACGCAACGTTTTGTCGACGTCGACGATATCGACGCATTCGTGATTCATGCTCTTCCACATCTTCTCAAATTAGAACAATTTGCTGCACGAATTCTTGGCAGACATTTAAGCAGGTTTTCTAGCTTTTTTTTTTTTGAAATCTTTTTTCTCTGCTACATTGATTAGGATTATCATTTTGATATGATAATCAGATTAGATTTTAATTGTTTAATTTTTTTGCATTATGATTAAAAATGAAAATTTTTTTCATTATGATTAAAAATGATTTTGTTGGATTTTTGATGGGATCAAAAATGTTCTCAGTAATTCTCCAAGATTGAAAATTCTTTAAAAAATTTTAAATGATTGGAAATTTTTATTAATTAATTTAGATTTTAATCCATAATCTGTTTTAGATTTTGATTGTTTAATTTCTTTAAAAATTTTAGTGTGTGTTATTTTACAAATTTTAGTCGCATGACTGAATTGCTTTCAACTCATTTTGATTTCTCAGCTCCAAGTTATTTGTCCAGTTATTTTATCATCGAGAAGCATAAACAAAAGCAAATTACTGGTATGGATATTAAACTTGCTGAGAGTTATTCATTTGTAGAACTCGATCCAAAGGTTTGTTCGTTCGTTCTTAAATATTTTGATTAAAGCTAAATTTATGATATTTTGATTAAATCTGTAGTTTGATTTAAAAAATTCCTACAATTATACTATTAAGAATTTTTTTTTTTTTTTTAGCGTCATGCTGAAACGATAGCAAGTTGTTGGAAATTTTCTACACATGGTGAACGTGATCAGTTTGAAGCAAAGATCCGACGGTTACCATCGGTTGGTGTTCAAAGTCATGATGGAGCGTTAGTATCATTTACCGTTTTGGATGCTTCCGGATTCTTCAACAATCAGTTCACGTTTGTAGAGCATCGTCAACGTGGATTAGCTGATCGAAGTGAACTGAAATTATGCCAGAAAGTTTGTTCTTTTATATTTGAAATTAAATTCATTCGATTACATATTTTATTGTTCATTACAATGGTTTAACTGATCATGTATTTTATTGGCAATTGTTATACTTAAATACTAATTTTAACTGGAACGAAAGAATCCGTTCAAATTTCATGGTAATTTCATTAAATTCTTATTTCACAGATTTATGAATATTCCAGTAAGAATGAATTTTTAGATGCATTGAAATATTCAATTTTTATTGATTTCTATTTTTCATTTTTCCTGATTCTGTTTAAATGAATGTTAGCAGCGCTTTGGTAAATTGGAAATTTTATTCCTAATTTCAGGTAATAGCATTTGGTTTGTATCCGATGAAATTTGTCGAGCATGAGAATACGGCAGTTCTCGAGCGTTCTTACCGATCACAGTGGTGGAGTACTGTAAATGATGAAGTTGGCATTCCAGTTATTAACGATCATCGTGTTGTCTATCGACGAATACCATCACATTTATAAGTTAAATTACAAATTTTTGTGAAATAATTTCAGGAATATTAAATTGGCGAAATATATGAAAATTATACTAAATAGTGAATTTTGAATTTTTTTAATTTCAAATCACACAACATATAGATATTTTTAATTCATATTACAAATCATTTATTATTTTGAAATTTTTGTGTTAAAATTTGATTTTTCAATTATGTGATATAATTACCATAAAAATATGGAGAAAATATACCATCTTCATTATAAATAACTTTGAATAATTACACATATTCTTTTTGAATTAAATAATTCTGCTGATGTGTTTACATTTTTCGCAAAATATTATCACCCACACTCAAATTTATTGAATTTAATTGTCAAAAAAATGAAATTGATACTAATTTTGATGAAAATTATTTATCAAAAGTTTGCTTGCTATATTTAAACAATGAAATATTTTTACGTGCGATATGGAGAAATTATCGTTATTTATTTATATA